GAAAGATAAAGACCATTACAGTATACTAACACATATATATGGAATTTAGAAAGATGGTAACGATAACCCTATATGCAAAACAGAAAAAGAGACACAGATGTATAGAACAGACTTTTGGACTCTATGGGAGAAGGCGAGGGTAGGATGATCTGAGAGAACAGCATTGAAACAAGTATACTATCAAGGGTGAAACAGATTACCAGTCCAGGTTGGATGCATGAGACAAGTGCTCGGGGCTGGTGCACTGGGAAGACCCAGAGGAATGGGATGTGGAGGGAGGTGGGAGAGGGGATTGGGATGGGGAATACATGTAAACCCATGGCTGATTCATGTCAATGTATGACAAAAACCACTACAATATTGTAAAGTAATTAGCCTCCAACTAATAAAAATAAGTGGGAAACAAACAAACAAAAAAATAAAGCTCAGCGGTGAGGAACTGATGCTTTTGAACTGCGGTGTTGGAGAAGACTCTTGAGAGTCCCCTGGACTGCAAGGAGATCCAACCAGTGCATCCTAAAGGAAATCAGTCCTGCATATTCATTGGCTGATACTGAAGCTGAAGTTCCAATACTTTGGCCAACTGATGCAAAGAATTGACTCAGTGGAAAAGGCTCTGATACTGGGAAAGATTGAACACAGGAGAAGGGGACGACAGAGGATGAGATGGTTGGATGGCATCACCGACTGGATGGACAGTAGTTTGAGAGAGCTCCTGTAGCTGGTGATGGACTGTAGCTGGGAGGCCTGGCAATGCTGCAGTCCATGGGGTCGCAGAGTCGGAGAGGACTGAGCAACTGAACTGAACTGGTAGGAGACTAAGGAAGCAGACGAAGAGGCTAATGTACAACTAATGTACAAACGGAGTAAAAATAAAACCGACATCCTGAAGACATTGTCTCTATTTGTCCAGGTTTGTAACAGCCACGGTGCTTTTCGCACACACTATCTTACTGTTCCCCAGCTCTCTGATGACACATCCTCTAGTTCGATAGTGCGTGCGGAAAGCACTGTGGATGTCAGAAACCTGGACACAGTTCAAAAGCATCAATTCTTCGGCGCTGAGCTTTCTTTATGGTCCCTTGACTGGCATCATCAAGCATCAAAAGGAACTTGTCAGAAATGCACATTCTTGGATCCCACACCGATGGGATTTCAGATGAGTCTCAGCAGCGTGTTTCAACAAATCCTCCAGCGCATCTGATGATCTCCAAGTTCCCACAATCGTCATACTCAGGAGGGAACTACGGAGACCACTGCAAGGATGGCGGCCGCCGTCTGAGGACCAAACTTCCTTCTGACCCCTACCTGGATTGTCCTCGCTCCTAGGAGGGGTAGTACACGACCCCACCCAGCCACCACCGCGGAGCAACGTTGCCCCGCTCCGGACTTAGCCCGTGCAGGGTCTTTCCAACTTCAGCCGGAGTACAGGCCAGAAAAGGACTCCTTGCTAAACTCCGCTTCCACCCACGAATGTCCTGGGCGTCCCCAGCCTTCCGGCTTCAACTTCCGGCGCAGGGGGGAGGGTGTGGGAGGGGGAGTGGGTGCTCGGGTCGGTGCGGAAGGGACTTGGGACGGACGTATCCAACTTCCTCGGCACCGGCGGGGGTGGTGGGGGATATTCGTTCTCCCAACCCTCTCCAGGTGCTAACTAAGAGGCCGGAGGAGACGGCGGTGGAAGAAAGATGGCCTAGTGTAGTCTAAGTGTCCGGGAAATCGGCAACCCAATAAAAGAATAATCTTTGAAAATCACGTTCGCTTCCTTTCCCACCCCAGGTCGCTGAGCCGCGATCCAGGAGGGGTGGAGAAGAGTGGGTAGGGCACCGGAGGAAGAAATCTCGCGATATGAGACCGGCCGGGGCGGGGGTGGCACCTCTTCCCTCCTCCTCCTCCTCGCGTTAGTTCCGGTAGCAGAGGAGACACCGCCGCAGTTGCTGCCACCTCCGGGGTTTCTGGCTCTTTTCTCATCGCCTTAAATTCGGTGAGTCCCGCGGCTTGCTCATCTTGGGCCGAGATTGCGGCCCCTCGTCGCTGGGTAGAGGGTGAGGGATGCGGTGGGTCCTGTGCGGCCCGATTTGGATGGGCCCGGGCGGAGGCCGCCGCATGAAGCCGGACCCGATCTCGGGCTTGGATTCGGGGGTCGGAGCGGCTGCTTCAGCGGGGAGATCGAGAGGCGGCTGCCCGGGCCAGAACGCGGGGCACACCGCGGCTCCACGGACGGAGGCAGTGGGCGAGGCAGGCCCTCGTCCAGCCCTGCCCGGCCTGGGTAACAAAGCCGCCGCGGCCTCTGTTGGGTGATGTACGCGTGGGGGGTTCCGGCGGGCGGGGCGGAGGGGCCGCCACCACCACTGCGGACGCCTCCACCGCCGCTGCTTTCGCTGGAGGGCGGGCGGATGTACGGGGCGGCGGGGCCCCCGGCGCGAAGTGCCTCGGCGCCTTTGGTCCGCTCGTTGCGGCGGCCGCCACCGCCGACCACGGGGTCAGTGGAGAAGGGGCTGCGGGCGAGGAGCAGCTCTTGGGCGGGGGTGGGTTATCCGTCGCTGGGCTGGAGGCCCGGAAAGGGTTGAATGGGGAGACACGTGCCCGGGCAGGAGGCTTGCCTTGGAAGGCACGGAGGAGGCTAGGCCCTCTCAGCCCCCTTTTGCCTGCTGGAGTGGTGCAAGCGACCGTTACGGTCCCGGTCACGACTTGAGGGTAGCGTGGTGCTGCCCTCGGATGAAGGGATTAGCCTTCTGATAGCGTCTTTAAATTGACATACATGTTTTGGATACCTCCTGATTACGATGGTCGTTTCTGTTAGCCCTCTGTGGTGCTCAGAGTAGTGGAAGGAGATGCAGACGAATTTAAACAGGAACGAGGAGGAGACCGTGCTTATGATGGGTGATTTGCCACTAGTCGCAGTGGCGCTGTGAAGTCATTTAAAAGTGGCCTTCACATTTCATCTTTAAAGAGTTTTTTTGTAGGGAGAAATGCAGGTTTTGAACTTACATTTAATCAAACAAAGGTAATTCTTTGTGCCCGTCCCAGGTCTATTGCTAGGCTGAAAGTGTATGTTCTACCGTAGTTTATCCGTGACTAGGCCAAGGTTTGATGTTTTGTTTTTAAAATGGATGTTCATGGCACTGATATTTTTAAGGCCTTATTTTCCCCCCTTAGGGTGTCTTTTATGAATAATCAAAAGCAGCAAAAGCCAACGCTATCAGGCCAGCGTTTTAAAACCAGAAAAAGAGGTAAATATTTATATTTTAATAATATCTTCTTTTCAGACCTCCAGAATAACTTATATTTTGGTTCCTCTGGCAGGCTATTGCTTATTATTTTAGAACTTAAAGGGAAAGTATCAGAAAGGAGCTTGAATATGTAGTTGACTGCCATTTCAGATATCTGTTTCTACTGCCTTTAAGATTTGTGATATCAACATAGATATATCTAAGCAGACTAGTGAATGGTCTTTATTGTGAACATACAGTGACTCTAAACAGAAGAAAAAAGTATGGACTTCAGGGCTTCATTTTCACTTGCCAGATTTCATTTAAGCAAGATTTTGCTTGTGAGAAAAGGTTAATTTATAAAAGGAGAACTCCTAATGTGATTACTAGTTTCATCCAAGCTATGTGAACATTTGTCAGAGAAAAATCAGACTTTAACCTGTGGAAGTTAATTATGGAACAGAGTTCACATTGCACTGTGTTTTGAAACTATTTCCTCACAGACTTAGTTTTAAAAAAAAAAAAAACACAAGAATTGCATTAATTACTTGTGTTTTATTAGGTACTTTGGTGAGTATTGAATACTGTAGCAAGACACTGCACTCATGATACAAAGTTAAATGAGATGTGGTCTTGGGTATATTTCGTATTAGCTTTAGTGTTTTACACCTAAACTTTTCAATGTTATTGCTCAAAAGTACATATTGACCTTATCTTACAGGAAACTTTTAGAAAATAAAGAACTGGGTTGGCTACTGGTTATAAATTATGTTTTTCAACCCTGAGTGGCAGACTCTTTGAGATGTACATTAGAGAATCTTTTTATAATCTCTCATTGTAGCCTGCCCCCTTACAGGAGGGAACAAGTAGTGTTTTGATTCTAGTCTTTGAAGATTCATTACAATTTAAGCCAGTAAATTTTCTCAAGAGGAATAGTTGGGAACCAGAACAATTCTATATGGAAAAATCTGTATATATTATCTGGTATAATACATTTTCAAGTAGTTTTAATATTGTTGTTAGTATCAGGAAGATATATCACTTCCCCAAATTGAGATTACTCATGGTCTCTTAGTTCTTGTTAATTGGATCCTGATTTGCCTGGGACTGAATAGAGTTCAGAGGACATAGACCTTTCAGTGTTGCAAACAAGAAGAGTCCTAGGCAAACAAAAGAGTTGGTCATCCTAGTGCTATGTAGAAATTAAGACATCATCTAACCTAGATAGTGAAATCAAACCTTGCCCTGGAGTGTATGACAGCAGCACAGTAAAGGCTAGGTATATACCCGAGGCACTGTTTAGAGAGTGCTTTCTATTTTAGTTATGTCATTTAATATTCACAACAACTTCATGAGATGGATCCTACTCTTAATCACCACTTACCTCAGGAACATTCAGACATGAAGAATGCACTAAGTTGCTCAACTTCAGATAGCTAAGTGCAGATCTCGGTTTAAATCAGGCAGTTTAAATCCAGAGCCCCTACTCAAAAATGCTCCATGTCATGTATTGGATACTCAAAAAATGTACTTTCTAAAAATTACCTTAATAAGTATTAGAGTGACCATAACCAAATGTTATGATCATTTAAAGGAAATCAAGAGGTGTCCCGTACTTGGACAAAATTTCACTCAGGAATAAAGTTCTATACCTGAGGTATAGAAGATATCCTGAATTTCACACTTTTCCAGGTGGAAATTGTCTCTTAGCAGTAGGAACACCCCAGCTCATTTAGGTCACTTAGGAGACCTGCATGAAAAAATAAGAGAGAAGCCATACACTTCTCGTGATAGGCAGTCCTGCCTTGCACTCCCAGAGGTGCAACTTGCAAAGGATGTGTTTAGTCTCCTGTCTGTTTGCTTGTGTTACAGGTCTTAGGCAATTAAGTAGTATTTGTTTTTCCCAGGTATTGAAATAAGTGAAATTGTAATGAATGTGGTTAACTTACTCAGTAGTTACAGCTTCATAAGGCAGTGGTTTCACGGCCTTTTAAAACGTAAATGTTTTGGGGTTTTCCCTCCAGATGAAAAAGAGAGGTTTGACCCTACTCAGTTTCAAGACTGCATTATTCAAGGCTTAACTGAAACTGGTACTGATTTGGAAGCAGTAGCAAAGTTTCTTGATGCTTCTGGAGCAAAACTTGATTACCGACGATATGCAGAAACACTCTTTGACATTCTGGTGGCTGGCGGAATGCTGGGTAAGTGTCTGAGTCTTGTGGGAAGTGTGTTGTATGGGGATTATGTAAAACCCAGCATCTGAACTGTTTGACAGACCTATCAAATCAGGATGGCTTTGTTTCTGTTTGTTTTCTTTTTTTTACCCCCTTAGGATTTTCACTTTTTTTCTTCTCAAATTATAGTAAATTTGCAGCTCGCCTTGCTCTGTATAACTTTATATTTGAAATCCATGACAGAACCATAACATTTGGGGAAGACTTTTCAGTCTGATACATAAGTCCCAGAACATCTCTCATCGGTGATTTTTCCAGCTTGTGTTTGCACTCTCAGTTAATGAAGGAATCCATATCTCTTTCTGTCTTACCAAATACTTTATACAGACAACCCTCCATATCCAAGGTTCCACATCCATGGATTCAGCCCAACTGTGGATCAAAAATTTTCCAGGGAGGGGAGGAGTAGAAAGTTCCAAAAAGCAAAACTTGGATTTTCCATATACAGCAACTATTTTTTAGCATTTATGTTGTATTTGATATTACATACAGTCTAGAAACAATTAAAATATACGCAAGGCTAAATGCAGGTTGTATATAAATACTATGCCCCTGGTAATTCCTGGGTTGGGAAGGTCCCTGGAGAAGGGATAGCTACCCACTCCAGTATTCATGGGCTTCCCTGGTGGCTCGGGTAGTAAGGAATCTGCCTGCAAGGCGGGAGACCTGGGTTTGATCCCTGAGTTGGGAAGGTCCCCTGGAGGAGGGCATGGCAACCCACTCCAGTATTCTGGCCTGGAGAGTCCCCAGGGTCAGACGAGCCTGGCAGGTTATAGTCAGTCGGTTCACAAAGAGTCGGACACAACTGAGTGACTAAGCACACACATTCTCTTTTTTATAAGGGACTTGAGTATTGACAGATTTTCCACCAGAGCCCTGGAGCCAATTCAGGACAGTGCTATACCTGAGTCCACAGGGTGGCAGAATTGGACACAACTTAGCGATTGAACAAGTAACTGAACACTAATTCTGCACTCTTCTATGTATTAGCCACTAGCTAATTATCAATCACTTAGAATGTGCCTAGTACAAATTGAGAGGTTAAAATACACTTTGGATTTTGAAGACAGTGTTAAGTAGAATAAGACATCTCAATAATACTTTGAATATTAAAACATTAATATTTTTGATGTGTTGAATTAAAGTATATCAAAATTAATTTCACTTCTTATTTTTAATGTGGCTGCTAGGAGATTTAGAATTACATTATATGGCTCACATTATATTTCTACTCATAGCCCTGCTAATTCACTCCTGCCTTCACTCTCAGCAGCTTAGATATCTTAACAGAATGTGTTACTTAGTTATATATCCTCAATTGATGCTGGTAATTTCATTTCCATGGCTCCCTAAAGTATTCCACAATGTTGTCACAGTAACATTGTATTGAACCTCACACCAGGCTGCTGGAATGAGACTCTTTATTTGTATACATGCAGAATGGAGGCTTAGAGAGGCTTCCATAGCTTGCATGTAGTCAAACAGTTGCTCAGTGGTGGAACTGTGAAGTCAGAAAGAAGATTGAAAGAATGATTAATTTTAAAGGAATGTCATTGCAATTTTTTTGTGAAATATACTTTAGCCCCAGGTGGTACACTGGCAGATGACATGATGCGTACAGATGTCTGTGTGTTTGCAGCACAAGAAGACCTAGAGACCATGCAAGCATTTGCTCAGGTAAATTAAACTTTACATGATTCAGTTAGCTGTTGTCCATCTGGCTGATGTTGAAGGAATAGTCTGCCCTTTTTTTTGAATAGTCTGCTTTTAAGAGGTTGGTGGTAGAAGGTTGAAGGGATTTGAGCTGAAAGTTTAGAGGTATCCTTGGTATACAGTATGATTTGTAAACTTAAAAATGCATTGAAGAAAACAAAAATAGAAAAAAAAATGGAATTACTTTTCCTTTACTTGTTTTTCTAGAATTAATCCATTTTTTAAGGAAAAAAGTCAAGCTGAAAAAGGAAAATCAGTTCCCTGTCATGATTTTCATCATTAAATTATTCTACATATAGCTTTTTAAAGGTGAATGAGTTATAGGCAGATTAGCTTCTTTATCAGTCAGAATCTCATTTGAAAGTTCACACAAGTGCATCTAACCTAGGGGTTGTTGTCTTTGTCGTTCAGAAAGTAGAACTGTATTTTATGACCTTTTGTTAATATCCTGCAGGTAGGTAAATGACTTGTATTTGAGCAGTAATTAATTTGTACTTTGATACTTTGGCAATAAAGGTCTATTGGGGCTGGTGATTAAAGTGTTAACATTATTGGTATATTGTAGGATTTCGGAAGGACAGGATTTCTTAAGCTGATTAAACATCTAATGAAAGGTTCATTTCTTTGCTGTTATGTTCTAGAGATACTGTGGAGAGGTCTTAGTTTCCCTGATTTAGATCTTTTGGGTATCTGACATTTTTACACATGAAGTTATTCAGTTCCTTTATTAATTCTTACAGGTTTTTAACAAGTTAATCAGGCGCTACAAATACCTGGAGAAAGGTTTCGAAGATGAAGTTAAAAAGGTATGAGCAGCAATATCCTTTGTGGAAAACAAAAGGTTGGGGCCAAAGAAGGGAATGTTAAATCCTAATTCTGCCATGGATTTGAGATAATTTTAGATATTTAAGTGGGCTGTCTTTGAAATGAAGTTTGGAGTATGTCATGTAGTTTAATTTGCTGTACACTGTTTCTTAGTTCTATGTTCAAACAAGTGGCAAAGAAGTAAAAATCCAAGTGGAGTTTGTTCAAAAGTCAGAGTAACAGATCAGAGCTAAATACCTTGACAAAGAGAAATTTACCATGCTTGCTCTCAGAGTCAGATAGTGTACATATCGGTGCACAGAAAAGTTGGTAAAGTTAATATTAACTCATTCAATACTCTCAAAAGCCCTGTGAAGCAAGTTTTATTTTACACATTTACATGTGGATAAGAGGAGACTGCGCCAGAGGTTAAGTGTCTTGCCTAAGATTATTCAGCTAGTGAGTATTATAACTGAGATGCAAACTTGAGTGGTTAGACCTCAGAGCGCATAGTTTTAACCAATATAATATGCTTTACTGCTTCTCTTTATATGATACAGTTTCTCTTTTAACCCTTGACTATTTGCTTTTATAGCTGCTGCTGTTCTTAAAGGGTTTTTCAGAGTCGGAAAGGAACAAGCTGGCTATGTTGACTGGTGTTCTTCTGGCTAATGGAACACTTAATGCATCCATCCTTAATAGCCTTTACAATGAGAATTTGGTTAAAGAAGGTAATCAACCTTTCATAAATGGGTGATCTCTAGTTGGCTGAGAGTGGTGTAGATAAGAGCATAAAAGATGAACTGACACAAAAGTTAGGATATAGTTTGTGTAGATTTGACCTGTGTGATACTGATAGAACTAGTGTCCTTGAATATAATTGGTTCATTTCAGTTCAGTCATTTAATGTATAACTTTAGCATTTAGACACACACCAACTATCCAGGGTCTAGACAAAATGTGATTGATTGTAAAGTAAAAACAGAAATGCTGTGGAAACCCAGAGAGGTTAATTCCAATTGAGAAACTTGGGAACATTTTAACTGCTTTGATTACTGAGTATTTAACATGCCTTAATGTAATTCTCAGAACAACCCTGTCAAGTGTAAGAATTGTCACTCTCATTTTACACATCAGGAAACTTGACTAACAGTACACAACTAACAAGTGGTAGAATAGAGAAATTGGAATGGGTTGGTAAACAGTGGAAGAGGGAAGTTTAGGGGTTGGTTTGGGGGTAAAGTGAATAATCCTGTGTGCTGGACCTTCAGAGGGAGGAAATGGGGAGATAAAGTCATTGAAATCCAAGAAGGTACTTCTGTTAAGTATGCTCTGTTTTTCTACAGGGGTTTCAGCAGCTTTTGCTGTAAAGCTCTTTAAATCATGGATAAATGAAAAAGATATCAATGCAGTAGCTGCAAGTCTTCGGAAAGTGAGCATGGATAACAGACTGATGGTTTGTGACTTTTCATTCTTCACTTTCTTGACAACACTTAAGGAAAATGTGACAGACAGCTTTCCCATTTTTAATCTGTGAGAAGATGGGAAAGTGTTTTTCTTGAACGATTTGAAGACCATTTAACAAGATTAAATTCTCATTTCAGGAACTTTTTCCTGCCAATAAACAAAGCGTTGAACACTTCACAAAGTATTTTACTGAGGCAGGCTTGAAAGAGCTTTCAGAATATGTTCGGAATCAGCAAACCATAGGAGCTCGTAAGGAACTCCAGAAAGAACTTCAAGAACAGATGTCCCGTGGTGATCCATTTAAGGATGTAAGTATTTCACCAGAGTGAGGTTTTTTGTTTTTTGTTTTTTTTTTTTAATTCATTTCCATTAGTTGGAGCCTAATCACTTTATGATATTGCAGTGGATTCTGTCCTACATTGACATGAATCAGCCATGGAGTTACATGTATTCCCCATCCTGATCCCCCCTCCCACCTACCTCCCTCTCCACCCAATCCCTCTGGTGAAACAGATCACCAGCCCAGGTTGGATGCATGAGACAAGTGTTCAGGCCTGGTGCACTGGGAAGACCCAGAGTGAGTTTAATAATAGCTGAGAATGTTATGCTGGGGCTTTGCCTCAGTCTTTTTCATATTTGGTGCCTTACATGTGCCCTGAAATCCTAATAGTTGGGGATTTTGTAAGGTGCAGGCCAATAGACAGGCCTTTCTGTTTTCATCGTGGGCTTTTCTTAGGTAGTTTGCCTATGTGTAACATAAGGTTTAGAAGTAGAAGTCTCTACCTTCTAGTTTTAAAAGTTGTGTGGTTGTATGTGGTCTCCTGGTCATTGCTAGTTGCATGGAAAAATCTTTATGCTTTTTGTAAGTTTGATATGTATAGTATCAAACTTAGTTCTTACTAAATATCAAACTTACTTCTATACGATAATTGGATTCTTTTGCAGATAATTTTGTATGTCAAGGAAGAAATGAAAAAAAACAACATCCCAGAACCCGTTGTCATTGGAATAGTATGGTCCAGCGTAATGAGCACCGTGGAATGGAACAAAAAAGAGGAGCTTGTAGCAGAGCAAGCCATCAAGCACTTGAAGGTATTAGAGTTGTGCCTGATAAAACATTGCTTTTGTAAGTGGGGATAAGTGCACTGTCCGTGTACTTTTCCAAAAGGATTTATCATATCCTATGGTTTCTGGGGTAAACCACCAGTAAGTAGACAGATTACATATTAAATACTGGTGATAACCTTTTAAAAAGTCTTAACTTGGGCTTTCTATTACCTACAGGATAAAAACAAACTCATGTTAAAAATAGCTTAAACCTGTAATTTGGTGTTTGCTTTTGAAAGAATATTGAAAAATAGGAGGATTCTTTCTTTTTTCCCTTTAAAATATTAAGATTATAGTCACAGTTATCTGGAATCCTTGGTTTAATATTGCTTCTTTGATTTAAATGCTTAAGAGATTTTTCTGCCTTTTTTTTTTTTTTTTGGTTTGTTTTAAAAGAAACTTCCGCTAAATAGAATATATAATGATTGTAAAAGATGAGTTGTGTTCTGTCTTTTAGAAGTTTGTACTGAATGTACAAATTCACTCCATTCAGTATAAATTCATTGTACTGAATGACTTAATCTTTGAATGACTAAATCTTTTCTCCTTTCCCTTTAAAAGCAATACAGCCCTCTACTTGCTGCCTTTACAACTCAAGGTCAGTCTGAGCTGACTCTGTTACTGAAGATTCAGGAGTACTGCTATGACAACATTCATTTCATGAAAGCCTTCCAGAAAATAGTGGTGCTTTTTTATAAAGGTAATTTAAATTTTGAATTTTGTAATACATTTATTGCAAAACCTAGAAAACTCAAAATAATTCTAATGAGTAGTTCTCTGAACATCAGCACCCTAAAGTATTTCACTCTAATCATAGGGCTGAGTTGTCTCTGATACAACTGGGTACATTTTTAGTGCATTATCATTAAAACATCTCTAAAGCCTTCTTGATGAGCCTCAGACTTCACCTGCTGTACTCTACCAGTCCTCTTCCCCAGACAGATGATTTTCTTGGTTCCTGTATTTTAAACCTAGAGGCCTACCTGCATCGCCATATTTTTTTTTTAAGCACCCTGTGCTTTGGTGATTATCAACTTGTGGTTAGGTTTCTTTAAAGTATCTATACCTCCACTTACTTCCTCCAGATTATTTAGAAGTAAGTCTTTAAAATCCTCATTTAATTCTGGAAAAGTTGATAAATAACTTTTAATTTTATCTATAAAACACTGGACTTTTAAGTAAAATCACAGTATCACACATAAAATAACTTTTTTATTTATCTATCAAATATCCCTAATCATTTATCACAAGATTTCTCAACCTTGACACTACTGTTTTGGGCCAGAAAACTGTTCTGTAAGATGACTGTTGCGTGGATTATAGAGTGTTTAACAGCATCCCTGGCATCAGCCAACAGGTACCAGCAGCACATCTCCCCAGTGCAACAACCAGCAACGTGTGTAAACATTGTCTGAGGTCCCCAGGGGATCAGGTTGCCTTCCGTTGAGAGAATCACTCTACAAGTTGATAAAAAGTTTCTTGGTATATGGTTCTCATTTCATCTTTTCTACTTTTTAAAATATTAATTTGTTGAAGAAACTAGTTGAGTGTTGAATACAGATTTATTTTGTAAGCAACAAAAATAATTGGTTTTACTCCACATTTCAGTAAAAATAAAAACACTATGAAGGCATATGCACCTCAGGGAGTGTCTAACTCTGCCCTAGTTATAGGAGTACTGTATGACAACTCCACAGATGTAAAGGTTGCTCCTTCTTTACAGCTGAAGTTCTGAGTGAAGAACCCATTCTGAAGTGGTATAAAGATGCACACGTGGCCAAGGGGAAGAGTGTCTTCCTTGAGCAGATGAAAAAGTTTGTAGAGTGGCTCAAAAATGCTGAAGAAGGTAAGTCTTTTCATTTGTGCAGTCTGTTTGGTAAAGCCTGAGAACTTAATGTGGACAAGAATATGTCCATATATGTTGTCTTTCATTCAGATACCATTTTGTACCTAAAGTACAGATTTTTGTTCATTCATGACACACCTCCAAAAACTCATTTACTTTAAGGCAGGGGAGAAAAACTACACTTCAGGTATTTTGATGACTTGGCCGTAATACTAACATTCTTAGGAAAATTGAAAATGTGAGAATGTGTGTATTAGTCAGTCACTCATGTCCGACTCTGGAATCCCATGGGCTGTAGCTTCCCAGGCTCCTCTGTCCATGGAGTTCTCCAGACAAGGATACTGGAGTGGGTTGCCGTGCCCTCCAGAGGGATCTCCCCAACCCTGGGACTGAAACCAGTCTCCTGCATTGCAGATTTCTTTACCATCTGAGCCACCAGGGAAGTTCAAATACTTAAGAATTTTAAGATTTACAGATGCATACTTTTTGATATCCTCCTCATATGAGTAGATCATTATTAATAAAAATGTTTAAGTAAAGTTAAAATGGAACTTTTACTTTTTGATATCATGTAATGCTTGATTGCACTTTTCCCCTTTTCTAGAATCTGAGTCTGAAGCTGAAGAAGGTGACTGAATTTTGAAACTACACCCTCAGTAAAGCAAACAGGAGTTGTAGATAAAATGTCATGTCTCATGTGTCCTGGTTCTTACATCTTCCTACCTCCCTATATCAAGCATGATATAAGGGCTTTCATGGCAAATTTTATTTTAACTGTTTCTATGGTTACTGGAAATGTTGGATTTAGTTTCTAAAACCATGTTTTAAGTAGCTACAGGAGCTATAGATTTGAATCTGATGTTGCATTAGTCTTTTCAGTTATCTTCTACCTCCTGTATTTTCTACTGTAATAATGTAATTTAAGGCCTTCCACAATGAACAGTTCACTTTATTCCCTGGGTTTTCTATATAAACAGTTTACAAGATATGATTTGGTTAAAAATAATTTGTTATATAAAAATTCTGTTTGCAAATTAAACTGTAAAAGTATCCAGTGTCTCAGAAGGCAATGATTTGTGTGATAATTTGATATGCCCAAAGCCCTGCTCATCAATGAAAACTCATATACAGTAATTGAATTCATTAACATGAATCTTGAGTATTTGGGCCATTGCTTCCATGTTAACATTTTCTTGGCATTTTTAGCCCCAGATGTACTTGAGCTCAATTGTCTGCTCTCTGATTTTTATTCCCTAAAATGAAGCCATGGGGAACAAACTTAAAAGTGGGGTATTTGGGAAATTATATGTGGCAATGGTAGTGGGAAGAAAAAAATGGAGCTTTTTCCCATTGAGAAACTTCTGCAATCAGTTTGTTTGTTTCCACACAGAACAAATGAATATTCTTTCCACAAAACCATTTTCAAATATACCTTGGAAAAAGCCTTGTCACTTAAAGTATTTTACACTTATCCTGCACTTAGATTCGTGAGAAAGGACTAAAAATAGTGCGAGTAAAGCAAATGACTGTACTAAACCCAGAAAATTGTTGAAAGAAAAATGATCAGCATGTTCTAATTGGGACTCCAAATATAACTCAATATTGCCTGTTGGCTTCGCATATTTGTTGTAAAGAGTAAAGTGCAGTGATAATGATGTATTCCTACTTGGTCATAGTGGACCAGCTTCATTCTCTTCACAGGTTCATTTATGACTCAATTATCTGGCTATTAACTTAACCTAGTTGCCAGTTTTTTAAATTGCCATGAGCCAAATATCTCTTCTATACAGTTGATCCATTTATTTTAATGGCTGCCTTTTTAATTTCCATCTTTTCTTGCTGCTACCTGTCTTTATATGTAGTCATTAGAAAACAAAGTGTGGTCACGCTTTTTGCTGCAAAGATTTCATGTTGAAAGTAAACACTTCGAAAGTTTTTTGACTGGTGAAAGAAACGAGCTTGGAATAATGCCACGAGAGACTTGAGTGGGAATTGCCTTTCTCAAAGGTGCCATTCTTATGAGCCAAGAATTTGTGTTTAGAAGTTTATCTTGAGGGAATAACATGTAATATAGTTTGAAATAAAGGTATAACCTTACGAAGAAGAGCATTATAATTGATACCATTGTGAAGGGGGTGAAATTGTTAAATGAATGACTTTTGATAAAGCTTTCATGCACAGGCAAAATGTATTCACTAGGTTTCTACATAGTGATCTGCTTTTACTTTGTAATTTGTAGTTCTCAAAAGACTTTTTTTAAAAAATAAAGTCTATCCTTACACTTAGGTTTATATAGGTCAGTCTTCTTCTTTTTTTTTTTTTTTTTTTTTAATTTTTTTGTAAATTCCATGCTGATACCTAGTGGTAAATATGTTAATGGTCAGATATATCTACTGTGTAAGCATTAAATAATTGCTCTTTTCATCCTTATGACTCCCAACTTCACAGAATTCTGATGTAGCAGAAATTACATTAACATTTCTACAACCAAACCATTGCATGTTACTGCAGTACAGAGTGTACCTTGTTTATTATATACTGTGTATAGTGAACGTGTGTGTAGTTTTCCAGAAAACTACATGATGATCCTTGTCTGATCAGTTTTTCCTTCATAATGACAAAGTAGTGTTTACTTACTACAATATTAACAGTAAGTGGATGTCACCTATGACAGTATAGTGTAAAGAAAGGGAATGCTTTCTAAAAAGACTTAGCAGATTTTCATTCTGAATTTTAAGTGGCAATTTTGAGTCTCAGCTGCCAGTGCCAACCTCAAATATGTAAATATAGATGTTAAGATTGTACTTGTAATCATGATCCGATAAATGTTCATTGATTTTCCTAACTTGGTGTCAGTTTCTAAGGATAAGTCTCCTCTTAGATACCATAATTAAATGTGTGCTTAGAGCTGATTAAATTTCTTAACCTTAATTATTCTGGGAGTATTGTCCTAGAGACATTTATTAGATTCTTAGGAAAATTCCACATGCCACAGGATATTTTAACACAGCATAGTGATGGTGGGGAGAAGAAATGCTTGTGACTGAGATTTATTTCCATTTCAATTTTTTAAGGCTTTTTTCTCATCAACCCTATCCCTAAAGCCTTTTAAACTTTTTTACCAGTGCATTTTTTTTGGCCACACTACATGGCTTCCAGGGTCTTAGTTCCCCAACCAGGATTTGAACCTGTGCCCTCAGCATTGAAAACATGGAGTCCTAACCACTGGGCCACCAGGGAATTGCCCCAATGAGTTTTAGTATCACAGATACGCTGTATATGTATTGTATCTGGTTTTTACATGAAAAGAGTAAGGGGGTTTGGAGGTCCTATTTGGGGGTGACACCCACTCCCATTTGAGAAATCATACCCTAATATATTTTTTAAGGGGAGGACCACCTAGTGGTAGACATTTGCATTGGCAGACATATCTTTATGTGTGTCCAAATCCTGGAGCAGTATTGTTTTCTGCCAGAGTCAGTAGAAAATAGCAGACCTTTGTTTTCTGCCAGTCACCATCATTTAACAGCTGTGCTTTACACCCTTCCTGCCACAGGTATGAGACAATTCCCAGTGGCTTTGGACATCTTGATAGATTCTTTCTTGATTTAGAAATGTATTCATAATTAGAATCATTCAGGTTCCTTCTTATCTATAAAAATCAGTTAAAATCCTAGGTGAATGATTTAATTAAAGTAGGTTATAACACTTTGATAAATGGCATTGAAATTTTACCAGTGAGTCTACAGTCACACCCAGGTAAGCTGCTTGCAGGAACTGATAGAACTATTATTGGCTGGTTGAAAATGTAGCATAGATGCCAAAGTTTTAGTGTACTTTATTAATACCTAGACTACTGAATTACCTTTGTAAAAATTTCCTCCAATGCTATTTACAGGTGCCACATAAAACAGGCTATTGCATTTCTGTGACAATTCTAGTAAACTGCCTTGCTGTGATCTTTCATGTAAAATATTAGTGCTGTAGTATTGATAAAGAGTATGTCTATTCACCAGCCTACTGAGGCCTAAAGGTTTCACATATAATTATTAAGAAATATGTTTTTTTTTATTATTAAGAAATATGTTTTTAAGGTGGCTTTATATAAGTGGGATCTAGAAAATAAGTACTTTTGACTTCAAAATAATGAATTTATAATTGGCCTCTGCCTAAAAAAACTTGAATTGCAGTGGATTTGTACTTAAACACAATCTTGCATAATTGTATGAAATTTGGTTTGGATCAGAAAGATTTCCAAACTCCTTTCCCTCTCTACTTTTTTTCCCTTCTATTTAACTATTGGCTATTAGCCACCATACCAAATCCAGTCGTTTTAATTTTCCAATGCACTTATAATCCTTTTATCTTTATTCCAAGATTATAATTTCACCTCTTAATGAATTGAAAAAAGGGTGAGAATATTTTACAAATTCACTCAATTGCTGTCAAGTTATTAATATTAACTCAGTTAACCTTAAAGTAAAGGCTTCAACTGCTTGTGGCCTGCTCTAGTACCCTAGAGGAGACAATGGCAACAAATCTGTTCAGTCCTTTGCTTTGTAGACTTTATCGAGAGGGACCAACATCTCATTAAACTGTGATACAATTAGAATGTTGATAGTTGTATTAGTGTAGGTCTGCAAACTATGCATTCAATATGTATAATGAATTTGGGGTGCTACAAAGTTATCAAATATAATTGAGTTGTTTCATTTCAGGGAATTTCCAGTGTAATAACCATTTTAAAATATCTTAGGATGAAAATAGTTTAAACCATTTTTTTTTAAAGCTGAACTCCTGAAGGCTGTGCTTCAAGTTGACTTAGAGGTAAACATTGGGGAAATACAGACTGAAGAATACTCTAACATTCTCTGCATCTTAAGAATAAAATATTATCTCTGTAAGTACACTTTATTTCCATTCTAGTTAGGACTAATGGATCCTGGCATGGCAAGTAGCTGAAGAATGGAGAAAACGGGATAGCTGATAATCCAGATAGTTCTTGACACTCTGAACAACCTCAAGTACAGCCGTTCAAGCCAGTAATTACATTGCTGCATTATTTGTGTTTAACTGTGAAATTTGCTTCTTGCCTGTACCCCTGAAATTGAATAAAATTTCATGAACTCCTTACTAATGTAAAAAGAAGAGCAGTGACTTGCACTGGTTGTTATCAGTAACCTTTGAGTGCTGGAGTTGGTTAAAACTCGGTCCTTTTCCTGGTCCTTTCTGTTTTGCCTTCGTGTTTAAAATACCATCAAAAGACCTGTGCCCTCAGAAGACAATTATCTCCAGATAATGTTTGCTTTTGTTTGACTCACATGTATTTCAAACTCCCATCCAAACCTGTGCACGTTCAAAAATTGCCATCTACCCCTCCAGAAAGCTTCAGGTCCCTTCTCTTCTCACATCTAACAGATCAAATCCTACCCATTCCAATTACAGAATCACTTCTCTCCAATGCCATCACCTGAATTGAAGCCATCAGCATCTCTTATGAAGAAGACAATGGCACCCCACTCCAGTACTCTTGCCTGGAACATCCCATGGCCGGAGGAGCCTGGTGGGCTGCAGTCCATGGGGTTGCGAAGAGTCAGACACGACTGAGCAACTTCACTTTCATTTTTCACTTTAATGCACTCGAGAAGGAAATGGCAACCCACTCCAGTGTTCTTGCCTGGAGAATCCCGGGGATGGCAGAGCCTGGTCTGTGGGGTCACACAGAGTTGGACATGACTGAAGCGACTTAGCAGCAGCAGCATCTCTTAACACCTAGTGAAAGCGAAAGAAGCTACTCAGTCGTGTCTGACTCTGCGACCCCATGGACAATAGTCTGCACCAGGCTCCTCCGTCCATGGGATTTTCTGGGCAAGAGTACTGGAGTGGGCTGCCATTTCCTTCTCCAAGGAATCTTCCCGACCAAGGGATTGAACCCACGTCTCCCACATTGTACACAAGACGCTTTTCCATCTGAGCCACCAGGGAAATCCAACACCTAGGGTAGTGTTTAAAGACTTTGGCCTTTGCCTGGAGGGTGCTGTATAATCCTTTAACTTAATCTGCCTTCCCCTCATTCACCACTACATACTCTGTATTTGATAGTATTTGTCTGTTAGTAAGCATTAAATTTTAGTTGAATATGTGAAGGAATAAGTCTGGTGTTTCCTGAATTAGAATACTGAGGTTGAGTATATAAAAAAATGAACTTCTGCGGATGTTTACATGTAGAATTAACTCTTGTTACATGAACTTGACAAGATTAATCCAAGATTTCCCTTCAGTATTTAGGGTTGCTTTGACTGTTGTGGCCAGAATTAGAGTCAGTCTGTCAGCAGAGAAGCTTTGCTGAGTTTAAGGCTATGGAGGTAAGCAGGACTGGGTGCCAAAATTCAGGCCTGTGGAACGGAGCAGGTAATCAAGAGTGAGGTGAGTGCAAAACAAAGACATCAGAGGTACCAGCAAGTCGGAGAGTTCACTTTCAAAAGCTTTCTATAATCTACCACTCATGCCACAAGAAACAAAATAGGTTTGTAAGCCCTCAGCATCAAAACTGCATGCCTTCCTGAAACAATCTTGGATGAAGATGTCACGCTTGTCTATGAGCTGTGTGATTGGGTAAATAATCCAACCTCTGAGCCGCCTTTTCTGCATCTGTAAAAGAAGGAACTGTGATAATGAAGCCGATTTCATGGAGTGGTTGAGAAGTTTACAATGAAATGATCTGTTTAAATAAAATAGAGGTGCTTGATGCAGTACTTGTCACATAATCACTTGAATAGCAGCTATTTTGTTTGGCAAGGAAGGATATGTTCATGGGAAACTAAGAGCTCTGAATTCAGGGCTCTTGTTAGATTTGCATTGGTAGAAGGTAATGGAAGTTTCTCAACAACCATCATCACGTTGCCTGCTTTAGCAACACTATTGTGTGCCCATGCTCCACAACAGAAGAAGCCGATGCAACGAGAAACCTATGCGCCGCAACCAGAGAGTAAACCCCCACTTGCCACAGGTTTCGGGGAAAGCCCACGTGCAGCAATAAAGCCTCAGAACAGCCAAAAATAAGTATTTTTTAAAAGTCAAAGAGTTAATGGCAGATGAAAGAGATTGAGTTGTTGGAAGAAGGGCAGCAGATGACCGACTGACTTGGTTTCAGCACTCTCTGTTCTAACCCCGTGTGGCACAGTAGAGAGCCAACAAGGAGAAACAGATCGACACTGCAGGGCCCAGGAACGTCTCAGAAGTTCGGACTGCTCGTTTTAAGGATGCAGGTAAGGAATAAAACTGAAAATAGATGAATTTGTTGGGCTCTGTAAGAGCACCTCTGTCCTTTCTCAATTTATGCCATCACTGACTGCCTTTACAGAACTCAGCAGAAAATGGGTATACCATCTGTATAAATGGGGAGAAATGATGGGGGCTATGGACTAGTTGACAGCATACAGGGTAAGAGTGCCATGTTAAACTCCCCCCTGCAAAAGCGTGGGCAGATCCCTAGCACAATACCCCCGTGTAGGAGAGCCACAGTCCCCAATATTGATTCTTCTGATTTGTTCTTAAGACTCCTCAACCTTTAGCTGGACACATGTCTGCTCACAGAACATCTGTCAGCCTCCCTTGTAAGTAAGAGTGACCATATGATTCAGCTACAGGCGATGCCTTTAGAGGAAGTGGCTATGTCTTTTCCCTTCCCTTTTTCCTTCCTGCTACCTGTGAAATGGGCATGATGGAGTTCAAACGGGATTCTTGGACCATAAAGATGAACTATTTGTGGAGAATTGCAGAGCAACAAAATAGGAAAATCCTGAGTTCATAACAGCATTATATTCCTGAACAACCTACATCTGGACTACTTTCAGATAATCTTATTTAGATCATTTTTATTTCAGGTATCCTATTCCATGCAGATGAATGTAATCCTGAATGGTTCTTTAGAAATATAAAGTGAAACAAAAAAACAAAATAGATTCAAACAAAATAGCAAACATAATAGACTTAAGGAGAAAATCCAAATAAATCCATCATCATAGGGGAAAACAATCAGGAGGTAATGTGCCAATTATGAAGCTGTTGTCTCTTAGCTTCAACATACCCTTTCATCCTACATGGTTTTAGGGCCGGAACTCTGCACACTGCATTTCTTGTACACCATCTGGTTCTCAGCTGTGTCCGATTCTTTGTGACCCCATGGACTGTAGCCTGCCAGGCTCCTTAGTCCATGGGATTATCCAGGCAAGGACAATGGAGTGGGTTGCCATTTCCTTCTCCAGGGGATCTTCCCAGCGCAGGGGTCAAACCGGGCCTCCTGCATTGCAGGCGGATGCTTTACTGCCTTGAGCTACTCGTTAGGCTCTGCCTGTAGGGTCTTCGGGGGACGGGAGTCAGCAGGGGGCTGACTTGCTGCTGTCGGTTTCTCTCAGTGTCAGCTCAGCAATGGCCCTTCACCCCGGCAAAGGCACTGGGCTCCATTCTGCACTTTTCCGCACTGAATACAGTCACTCTCAGAAATACCGGGACCAGCCAACTGGCATTTTTCTCTCAAAAATCTGCCTCAGCTCCATGGGGTTCATTGTCTGAGTTGAAGGCTGTAGCCAAGCAAATGCCCCTCCCCAAACTGAATCCTCGCTCTTTGGGTTCTCTTCGAAACCTTTAAAGCCTTTTTCCCTTCAGCCACACACAGGACTGCTGCTGCTTGCAATTACTACCTCTGCCTTGTCAATTCCCTAGTTCTTACTTTAAGATACTTTATATTAAATCTCTGTTAAAACAATTGGATTTTTTTTCTGGTCTCCTGGCTGGAAGGAATTGGCACCAGGAGTGGTCCTTGAAAACAAACTGTGAAAGAGGGTATTTGGGATCTGGTTTGTACTTGAATACGCTCTGGAGCTTTTTTGGCAGAAACAGAATTCTAGGAATCTATGGCATGAAATAGCATCACAGTTAATGAAATTATTGATAAAGCACTTCAAAAGTGAAGTGTTTGAGAGACCCAGTGCCTGCTGCACTGACCAGTGTTGGCCATTATTGCATAATGATTACTACAAGGACGTGGCTTGGAATGCTGGCATCTGAATGCATGAGTCACCGCATAGGCCAGAAAGCAATGAGATGACATATTCAAGGTGCTTTAAAAAAAGAAAAATGTCATTCAAGAGTTCTGTAGGCATCAAATCTATCCTTCAAAAATGAAGGGAAAATTGAGAAATTCACAGAAAAACAAAAACACAGCAAATCTGTTCTAGAAGACCTGCCCTACAAGAAGTACTGCAGAGTCCTTCAGGCTGAAACAAAAGGGACACTAGACAGTAACTCAAACCCACATAAATAAAGAGTATTGCTAAGTGTCCCTACATAGGTAAATGTAAAAGTATAAATGTATTTTTTGTAATTCTTTTTTTCTCCATCTGATTATAATACAAGTACATAAACAATAATAAAGCTGTTGAACTTATGATGTCGAATGATGTGATCTGTGATGGCCACAGCACAAATAGGAGTAGAGACAGCACAGGTATATGGAAGATTTACCATACTATTGAGCTGGATTCCAAAACATAGTCCCCCGGAGGGAGCTGCCGAGATCAGGTGTTCAATGAAAACAAGAAGGAAGCCTCACGGGCTTTCATGACCTGGTGTGACTGCTGCTATGTCTATTATCTGAAGCAGTTACCAGTTCCAAAGAATGTGTGAAGTGGGATTGTTGTAGATATTTTTGGAAAAATTCTGCCACACCTATCTTACAGTGAGACTTTTGCTATAAGGAAAAAAGCAAGAGGTACAACATCATTTCTAAAGTTTAAAAATGAGTACATAAGAATGTCCCTGGAGGTCCCATGGCTCAGACTCTGCAGGAAGTCCAGGTGCGATCCCTGGTCAGGGACCTAGATCCCACATGCCACAACTAAGAGTCAGCAATCCACAGATTGGAGTTCCCACAACTAAGACTTGGTACAGCCAAATAGATAATAAATAAAATTTTTGTTTCAATGTGTACATGGGTATAGATGCAAATGCATCTCTGGGATGATGGGGATGAGGATGAGGAAGATGAGTGAAGCAGGACTTTAATCTATTTTAATCTAAATTTTTTTATATTTTATATTGTTTGAATCTTCTATTAATGAGAAGTGTCCATG